ATGAGAGATGAGAAGAGAGGAGGAAATGAAATTAGGGTTTGAAAATTGTGTAGAATTGATTTAAATAAAAATTAATTTAAAAATGATTAATTAAAACCTGATTTATGTATTATTAAAGTTGATTTTGGATTTTTGAAAATGATAACTTAAAAATTTTTGTGAGTGTAATTTCCTCTATGTTATATGTAGTGGACAAAGGTAGTGACTTGGTCCTATTTTAAGATTTTTGGGTTTTGCCTTGAAGCATTGGATACCATTTTTTGGGGGTAAATTTTTTATTTTATTTTTTTGTAGGTAAGATAATTTCATTTTATTACAATTTGACCAATCAATTCATACTTCTACTTTAATAAATTGCTTCGACCGATTCTCTTAAACTAAAAAATCAAAGACATAAATATTGACACAACATAAATAAAACCAATATTAAAATTAACCGTGACCCTGCTACGCTCTTGTTTTGTCAATTACTGAACATTAAAGCTATCACAGGTTATACGTTCGTGTTTTATCAATTATTGAACGTCAAATAATGCTATCATGGATTCTCCGTAATTGAAGACATCAAAATTCTTTCGTCTTCATTTCTTTGGTCAATAAAGAAAAAGAATTGCTATATGAATAATTCCTATACGATTTCCGTGTGGAATGTTTGTTCCATTTCAGGAAATGGTCCGTATTCATATACACGACATATTATAGGGAATGTATGTAGTGGACAAGAGTAGGAATTAGTGAGGAAGGGCATGGCACCTAATTTTTTGAGGCTAAATTGACTACGTCTTTGTTGGAATACAGTAACAATCATGTTACATGTATATCATTATTTACATTGTGTTACGCTGCAACAAACCATTGGATAGTTTAAAAAAAAAAAAAACACTTTTCTCGTCCACAATTTTTTTAAAACAAAAGGGATGTCAATCCAATGAATGTACATTTTGCATTATTTGATTCTTCATTTTTTACATTTTACTTTATTAATGTTGGTTTTGAATTTTTAGGTACTTGTTGTTCTTGTACACGATTTGGGTCCCAATTGG